TAATGCTGCTTTTGAGTTCTGTTTACATTTACAATGGTGAAATATTATGTTATTTATGTGATGAAATATTTTACCACATTTTTTTCCTATTTTCATCCTGTAAAACCTGGGTGCATCTTATGGTCTGAAAAATATGATAATTAATTTATCAGTTCTAGTAGTGTCTTGGTGTAGTCTTTGGGGTTCTTTATGTATGGTATCATCTGCGAATAAACGTAAGTTTTGCTTCTTCCTTTCCAACTCATATGCCTTTTATTTTTTCTTCTTGTCCTATTGATAAAGCTAGGATGTCCAGTTCTATGTTGTATAAGATAGGTGGAAGTGGACATCCCTGTCTTGTTCCTAATCTTAAGGGGAACACTTGTTATTGCCCAATGAGTATGATGCTGGTATTGGGTTTGTCACATATGGCCTTTATTATGTTTGGGTATGATTTCTGTATTCCCACTTTGCTGAGTTTTTATCATAAATGGGTGCCAGATTTTATCAAAAGCTTTTTCTGCACCTATTGATATAATCATGTGGTATTTGTCTTTCACTTTGTTTATGTGGTGAACCACATTTATTGATTTGCGAATGTTGTAGCAACCTTGCATTACCAGAATAAATCCCATTTGATCATGGTGTATGATCTTTTTGATGCATTGCTATTTTCAGTTTGCTAAATTTTTGTTGAGGTTCTTCACATCTATGTTTATCAGTGATACTGGCCTATAATTTTCTTCCTTTGTTGTGCCTTTATCTGGTTTTGGAATTAGAATAATGCTGGACTCAGAAAATGATTTTGGGAGGCTTCCTTCCTCTTCAATTTTATAAACTAGTTTGAGAAGGAGAAGTGTTAGTTCTTCTTGGAATGTTTGGTAAAATTCACCTGTCAAGCCATCTGGTCCAGGACTTTTGTTTGTCGGGAGATTTTTGATTACTGTTTCAACTTTATTAGCTGTAATCTGTCTATTCAGATTATCTGATTCTTCCTGCTTTATAGTTGGAAGACTGTTTCTAAGAACTTATCCATTTTGTCAAGGTTGTCCAGTTGGTTGGCATATAACTGTTCATAATAATTTCTTACATTCCTTTGTATTTCTTTGGTGTCAGTTGTTATTTCTTCTCTTTCATTTCTGATTTCACTTATTTAGGTCCTTTCTCTCTTTTTCTTGATGAATCTGGTTAAAAGTTTGTCAATCTTGTATATCCTTTCAAAGAACAAGCTCTTGGATTCATTGATCTTTTGTGTCTTGTTTTTAGACTCTATTTCCTTTATTTCTGCTCTGATCTTAGTTATTTCTTTCCTTCTACTCATGCTGGGCTTTGTTGTTGTTCCTTTTCAAGTTTGTTTAAGTGAGAAGTTAGATTTTTTATTTGAGGTTGTTTTTTTTTTTTGCTTTCAAGATAGGTCTGCAATGCTATGAATTCCCCTCTTAGGATTGTTTTCCAAGTGTCCCATAGATTTTGGACTGTTGTGTCCTCATTTTCATTTCTTGCAAGGTATCCTTTGAATTCCTCCTTGATCTCATTGTTGACCCATTCATTGTTTAATAATATGTTATTTAGCTTTCATGTCTTTGTATATTTTTCAGTGTTCTTCTTATGGTTGATTTTTGGTTTCATTCCATAGTGGTGAGAAAAGATGTTTGACTTGATATCAATCTTCTTAAATGTATTGAGACTTGTTTTGTGTCTTAGCATGTGGTCTATCATAGAAAAAGTTCCATATGCCCTCAAAAAGTATGTATATTCTGTTACTTTGGGGTGCAATTCTCTGAAGATATCAATTACATCCATTTTATCTAGTGTGTTGTTTAAGGTTGCAGTCTCCTTGTTGATATTTTGCCTAGAGATCTATCCACTGAAGTGAAGGGGGTGTTAAAAGCCCCAACTATGACTTTATTTCTGTTGTTCCCTCCTTTTATGTCCATCAAGATTTGCTTCACATGTTTAGGTCCTTCTATGTTGGGTGCATGAATGTTTACTAAGGTTATATCCTCTTGTTGGATTGTTCTCTTTATCATTATGTAGTGTCCTTCTTTGTCTCTTACTATAGCCTTGGTTTTAGAGTCTATTTGCAGATATAAGTACTGCTACCCCAGCTTTTTTTCTATTTCATTAGCATGAAATATCTTTTTCTGACCCTTTAGTTTTAGACTGTGTGTATCTTTCAATCTAAGATGGATCTCTTGGAGGCAGCAGATATAAGGAGATAGCAGATACATGGGTCTTGTTTTCTTATCTATTCATCTAACTCCTGTCTTTTGGTTGGAGCATTTAAGCTATTTACATTGAAGGTGATTATTGATGGACATGTATGTAGTACCATCTTATTGTTAGACTGTGTTCTTCTGTTTGTTTTTTTTTTCTCTCTTTTTCTATTTCTTCTCCTTGAAGCAAGTTTAACATTTGTTGCAGTATTAGTTTGGTGTTAACAACCTCCTTCAGCTTTTTCTTGTCTGGGAAGTTCCTTATGTCTCCCTTGATTTTAAATGATAGGTTACCCTTATAGGTAACTACCTGCTTTTCTTTTGTGGCTGTTATGATTCGCTCCTTGTCTTGAAACCTTGTCATTTTAATTATGATGTGTCTTGGTGTAGGCCCCTTTCATTCCAACTTGTTTGAGACTCTATGAGCTTCCTGGATTTGTGAAACTTTTTCCTTCATCAGATTAAGGAAGTTAGTTTGTGGTCATTATTTCTTCAAAAAGGTTCTCAATCCCTTGCTCACTTTCTTGTCCTTCTGGTATTCCCATGATGAGGATGTTGTTATCCTTCATGTTGTCCAAGATGTTTCTTAAGCTCCCTTCATTTTTTAAAATTCTTTTTCATTTTGCTGCTCTGCCTGGTTGTTTTTTTTTACCCCGTCTTCCAAAACATTGATTCAATCCTCTGCTTCACCTAACCTCCTGTTTATTACTTCCAGTGTATTATTTATCTCAGATATTGCTTGTTTTATTTCTCACTGATCCTTTTTTATGATTTCTATGTCTTTTTCATGCTGTTGAGCATCCTTATAATCACTGCCCTAATATCTTGCTATCTGACAAAATTGCTTACTTCCATTTCATCTAGTTCTTCTGGGAAATTCTCGTTTCATTTGGGGTCTGTTTCTTTGTCTTGCCATTGACCACTTTTTGTATTTTTTGCCTTAGATGTGAAACTAATCAGCTGTTGATCTAATTGATCTGCAATCAGCAGTCAGACTTAAGCACCATTAGGTGGAGCACAGTAATTGCTGGGGGTGGGGCTATTGCTTCCCATCAGGCTGATACCATTCAGACAGGAGTGCTCTGCTTGAGAGAGATAGCTCCTGAAGTATGGGGAATGACTCAGCACATAGATCATGGAGTCTGTTCCCTCAGTTCCCTCTCCAGAGCCACCAAAGCCAGATTCTCCTCAAGTGTCTCTAGTACACTTTATCCTCCCTTTGCTGGTGCCCATGGTAAGTGGCTGCAAATGAAATTTTGCACTTTGGCCCTTTAAAAGGATCTCTGCATTCTCTCCCTGGCCAATAGAACCCGTTCCTCCTCACAGCTAGATGTTATCTGGGTTGCTTTCCAGGTCTGGTGCTGTGTCTGGGGAGTGAGCTTGGGGTTGAGACCCCGCACTTCTTAGGGGGAAGCCTCTGGTTGCTGACATATCCCTCCAGCATTTCAAGTGTCAGCTGTGGGAGTCCAGCCAGCTCTCTCAAGTCTCCACCATATTCCTTATCAGTCACATTGTGCTGAAATATTTTATTCTGTCTGTCTGTGGTTGTAAGGCTTCTCTCCAGGTAGTGTTCAGTTGGTTATTCATGCTGATTTCTCTGCAATTTAGTTGTAATTCCAGATTGGTCCTGAGAGATTAGTAACTTTCACTTCTTCCTCTGTCATCTTGGATCTGTCAGCTCTTTATTCTGCATGGTTGAATCTGCTTGTAAGCTCTCTATTGAATGCTTCAGTTTACTTATTGTACTTTTCAGTTCTAAAATCCATTAGATTTTTTTGAGGTTTCTATTTCTGTTTGAACTTCTCATTTTGATCATGCATTGCTTTATAAAATGTATTTAGCTTTCTGTCTCTGTATTCATGAATTTCCCTAAATGTCTTTAAGAGAAATATTCTGAATTCTTTGTCTAACAGTTCATAAATCTCTACTTATTTAAGATCAGTTATCAGAGGTTTGTTACTTTCCTTTGTTGGTGTCACAGTTACGTGATTTTTTTCAAAGATTTTTATTTATTTATCTTTAGAGGGGAAGGGAAGGAGAGAGGGAGAGAAACATCAATGTATGGTTGCCTTTTGTGGGTCCCCTGCTGGGAACTGGCCTGCAACCCAGGTATGTGCCCTGACTGGGAATCGAACCGTGATTGTCTGGTCCGCAGGCCCACGCTCAATCCGCTGAGCTACAACAGCCAGGGCTCTTACGTGATTTTTTTCTGAGCTAACGTATTACTTATCTATGCATACGTTATATACTGTTTGAAGTCTCAGGGGTTACACAACAGGCATAAAATCTCCCAAACTATACCAAACTATTATATTGTAAAACTGGTTTTCCTTAAGCCATTTAAAAAAAATCTGACAACAATGATCAGTCATTCTTTGTTCTCCAAATATGTCCCACTTCCCACCTCCATGCTGTTCCTCCTGCTTGCAGTGCATGGCTTCCCATTTCTACCTGTTGGAATCTCACAGTTCTTCAGAGTCCTTGCTAAATGCACTATCTTTCATGCAGCCTTTCCTTATGCTGAAATCAGAAGGATTTCCTTCCCTCTCACAGTACCAATAGCACCTTCCATCTCTACTGTGCTTCCTATAATTGTTTTTATGCCCTTTCTGATTTTCAAATAATTATAATCTCCTACCTAGAAGACTTTAAACATTTTCATGTGAGAGAAATAAAAAGCATGAATTTTATTCATTTTTATACCAACACAGTACTTAACCAAGTGCTTTATACACAGCCTAGGCACATGATTAATATTCGCTGAATTGAAGTTAATATTTTAAGCAACATTCATGTGACACTTACAATTTTGCGCTTGATCATAAAGAGTGGAATTTTTGCATGTAGAGGGGTTGAGGACAGTTCTTTATGGACCGTTGATAAGTACAATCTTCTTTTGATATTCCCTAAATCAGTAATTCTGAAAAAAGAGAAAAGAAGAAAGATTTCCATCAATGTAATAACCACATCTTTGGAAAATGTTCAAAATGATATAATTTATCACATAGGTTTTTTCCAACAGGAAGATCAAACACAGAATTTAAGAACTGCCCTTTTTCTTTCAAGAAATAATAAAACTTCTTCCTTAAATTCAAAGTGCTCACAAGCTTAAATGTATAAATTCACTTAATATGCTAATTTATTTCAGTAGTTGATACTAGATTTCCAGTGTTCCAGCCTAGGAAAAAATTCAATTTGTATGAACTGAGAATCTGCTAGACTTTAATAACCATGCTTGTTCCAGTCCTTTAAGCATGTATTATCTTGGGACATACTGTCACCTACTAAGTAGGAAAACATTATTTGTTTCTTTCCCTAAAAATGCACGTGTCATTTTATATAGGCTGCTAGTCTGCTTAGAGACAGATGCAAAACAGACTGTCAGTCTCACTTCCTAAGCACATATCTTGGAGCTAGAATTATACACAAGTTTACTGCTATCAGGTCAACCTGCAGTGATACCAAGGACACTGAATTTGAACATCTTTAATAGATTAGACCACAGCCATGATCACAAAGATTAGGTTTGCTTCAAATTGATAGAGGCTCATTTTTATGTTCTGCTTCCTTTAGGTCTCAGAGGTAACAGAGCAGGCTTAAAATCTCCAAACCTGTCTCAGGCTGCTATATCGTAGAACTGATGTCTCTTGAGAGACTATCTTTTATTAGACGATAGTTATTCTGTCCCCATTTTTAGCAAAAATATTTGTCTACATGTACCAACTGCTAATTTTCTACAATTAGCAACCCCCAAGAATACAACATTTTATTCAAATACACTGCTACCAATATTTATAGTGCAATTAACTTTTAAAAATCAACATAGCCTTTTCTATAGTTCTTTCTTGCTCCCCCACTCACTTTTCTAATCATTTTATTTCTTTCCTCTACAATACTCTACATGTTTTTTTTCTGTAGAAAGCTATCATTGAACAATGTTAAGAATAAGTATAGTAAAAATTAAATGAGATAAATTCAGAGTATGCCTATAAAGCTAACAATTCTACTGTATCTGTAATATATGGTGCCACAAATTCATTTAAAAAGCAATAAATTCTGTCTGGCCAGGTGGTTCAGTTGGTTGGAGCATCATCTCATACACCAGAAAGGCGTGAATTCAATTCCCAGTCAGGGCATGTATCAATGATCAGGGCAAATGATCAGTGTTTGTCTTTCTCCCTCCCTTCCTCTCTCCTTTCCTTCCTCCCTCCATTCCTTCTTCTTTCCTTCCCTTCTTCCCTCCTTCTGTAAAATTAATAAAAACATATCCTTGGGAAATGATTTAAAAATTAATAAAAATAAAAAGCAATATATTCTTTTAATTCTAGTTAGAGGTAGATTTAAAACGTAAAAATGTTAACACTACTGTAGTTTTATGCTTGGATGTATAAGTAAATGTATCACAATTTGGCTCCACAGCAGTGTGCTCTAAGTGGGATGAGCACATGGAGAAGGTGCTACACAGCCATTCACTGAAGTGCAGGAGGAAAATAAAACTGTCTTTCATTTCACCCTTTAAAAATGTTATTTCTGTTCACTTTCATTAATTAGTAGTACAGCAATATATTTACATATTTTTGAAATAAATAAACGTTGTTATATGGTTAGTGTGCTCAAACATTTTACCAGTAGAGTACAGGATCAAATATTTTTGGAAAGCATTGTCAGAAGTAATGCTGTTAGGTCTCTGTAAGATTCTCTGATTAGGAGACAGAAGAAAAGACTGTATAAGTAAGAATCTGCAAAGAGAAAGGGGAAATAAAATTCCCTTGCATCAAACAAAAGGTTTGGTTGCATCAACCAAAAACTCTATTGAGACAAGTTTTATTAAAGGTTTGCTTTACTTGTAGGAGTAAGACCATGTAACTTTTATTTGAATTAGTTAAGGATCTAACTCCAAGTTGAGAAATATTTGAGTATACTATCACTTTCTCCATATATGGAACAATAAAAACACTTATTCATTCATTCCTTCATCCATTCACATGTTCAGCAAATACTCACTGGACCCACTGAACCAAGCAATCACCTGGGAATACACTGGCAAATATAATAGCAAAAAAGTCAAGGTTGTTAACATCCAAGAGCTTCTATTCTTAGTGGAAAAGGCAGGTGAAAAAGTATGAAGAAACAAAACAAATGTATCATAAATGCAATAAAGAAAATAAGTAAAAGAATGAACTAGAAAATAATCAATAAATTACCCACTTAGACAGGACAGTCAGCAGGGGTAGCACCTAAAAGGTAAGGGAGGGACATAAAGCAGAAAGGGCAGGCAGGAGCTGAATTGTGCAGGGTCTTTATGTCAAGGTTTATATATTTATTGTTCAAATTAAGAAAATATTAGACTTCATATTCTACACTGCATGATGAATGGATATAATAGAAATAGTTATGATCTCTTTTATTTCTTTAGGTAAAATTTGAGTAACAAATGCACAGATTTTCAGTGTACAATCTCATGTGTTTTGATAAATATATACACACATGCAATCACCACTCCAATCAAAATATGAAATATTTCCATTATCCTAGGAAGTTGTCTTCTAGCTCCTTCTAGTCAATCCTCACTCCTGATTTCCATCATCATGGATAAGTTTCATCTGTTCTTGAACTTCTTATATATGGAATGGCACAGAATATATTCTTTTGTGACTGGTTTCTTTCACTGCTAACATTATGTTTTTGAATTTTATCCCAAAACATAATGTAGCATGTAATAGGACAAAGGCCCCTTTTTCGGGCCCTCTTTGCCAGAGCTAGGTAGAGCCCATAAAACATGACTGACCCTAATTATTTTATGAGTCTCTATCCTCAGGACTAGAAAATTGCTGGACGCACCCTGAGGGCACAGAGGCTCCACAAACTTACAAAACAGAACACACCAGACCACAACAACTGGACTGGACCCTGCACCCCCAAAAAACATCAAAAAATGTTGCAGCCTATACAAGACCAACTGAAATATCCTGTTCTACAACCATCTTGACATCTAATAAAATCTCAAAGCCCAGACCTCTCAGAGTTGATGCTGGTACATGTCTCAGCACCTATCCCTTTCCCTCCCTTGGGAAAGTAAAAATAAAATCTTTACTCTGCAGTTTCTTCTCTTTGTGAATTCTTTCACAGCTCACGTCACCAACCATCATAACAGCATGAACCAATAGTTTTATATTTATTTATTTTTCAATAGTTTTTTTAATTGTTGGATTTTTTTAAAGATTTTATTTATTTATCTTTAGAGGGGAAAGGAAGGAGAGAGGGAGAGAAACATCAATGTATGGTTGCCTTTTGTGCATCCCCTGCTGGGAAGTGGCCTGCAGGGAACCGATCTGCAACCCAGGCATGTGCCCCGACTGGGAATCCAACCTCCATTGTCTGGTTCGCAGACCCATGCTCAATCCACTGAGCTACACCAGCCAGGGCTAATTGCTGGATCTTAAATGTCTATATAACAATTCATTTTTTATCTATTTTCCTATTGATGTACATTTGTTTCCAGTCCTGATTGCTTAAGAAAACCTGTAAGAAAATTCTTGTAGAATCCTGTTACTGACGTGTATTTATTTTCTTGATAATTAGGAACAGGATTACTGGGTCATTGGGGAAGATATATGTATATCTTTATAGAAACAGTTCTCCAAAGTGGTTACAGTGATTATAAATCCTCACCAACTTTTGGTGCTATCAGACTTCATCACTGGGTAAGCCTAGTGGGTAAGAAATGAGTATCATTATGATTTTATCTGCATTTATCTTATGAATAAAGAAATTGAACACTTTTACATGTATTTACTGGTATATCCTGTGAAGAATCTGTTAAGTTTTTTATTGGGTTGTTTTCTTATTATAATCGTATGAGTTCTTCTTCATATTTTTGACATATTAACATATATGTCCTTTGTCATGTATATGTGTTGCAAGTATTTTCTTGCCTATTATATTAACAGTACCTTTTTTAACCTATATGGAAATAATTTCTAACTTAGGGAAAAGTACCAAGAATAGTACACAGAAACTTATATATGCTTTATCTAGATTAGTTTATTGCTTAATGATGTCTTTTGATTCGCAGTTTTTAATTTTCATGAAGTTTACTTTATCTTTTTTTTTTAACTTTTTAAGTATATTGATTATGCTATTACAGTTGTCCCACTGTTTTCTCCCCTTTATCCACCTCCACCCTGCATCCACTCTCCCTCCAGCACTCTGCCCCTTAGTTCATGTCCATGGGTCATACATGTAAGTTCTTTGGCTTCTCCATTTCTTATACTTTTCTTAATTTCCCCCTGTCTATTTTATACCTACCAATTATGATTATTATTCTTTGTATCTTTTCCCCCATTCTCCCTCTTCTCCCTTCCTGCTGATAACCCTTCATTTGATCTCCATTTCTGTGATTCTGTTCCTGTTCTAGTTTTTTTTTTTAGGTTGTTGTTGACAGTTGTGAGTTTGTTGTCATTTTACTGTTCATAGTTTTGATCTCCTTTTTCTTAGATAAGTCCCTTTAACATTTTGTATAATAAGGGATTGATGATGAACTCCTTTAACTTGACCTTATCTGGGAAGCAGTTTATCTGTCCTTCCATTTTAAATGATAGCTTTGCTGGGAGAGTAATCTTGGAGTGGGTTAAATAGTTCTTTCTGGCCCATTCTTGTCTATACAGTTTCTTTTGAGAAATCAGTGACAGTCTCATGGGAACTCCTTTGTAAGTAACTCTCTGCTTTTCTCTTGCTGCTTTTAAGATTCTCTCTTTATCTTTCATTTTGGGTAATTTTATCATGATGTGTCTTGTTGTGTTCCTCCTTGGGTCCAACTTCTTTGGGACTTTCTGGGCTTCCTGGACTTGTAAGTCTATTTCCTTCGCCAGATTGGGGAAGTTTTCCCCCATTATTTTTCAAATAAGTTTTCAATTTCTT